TTTTTTTTTTTTTCCTGCCTTTTTCTGGAGGATCCGGGAGCCTCTAGGATGTGTGGGGGAGAGAAAATTCCTGGTATCGGCATCCGGTATTGGGATGATGTAGTGAACTGTCTGGGCTGGTGCAGCGGGGCCTCCTTGAGGAGGAGGTATGGGTTTCATGGCTAGGAGCTTGTCTGAGGAGGTAGGTGGAACCTGTTGTGCTGTTCAGAATTAACTCCATGTGTGGGGGGTGTTATTCTGCAGTGACTACGTTAACGTACAGCCTCCTGCTGCACTCACCGGCACTCTAAGCAAGAGCTCTTCCAGAGGAATTCCTAATTGCATTCTTGGAGCAGGGAATTCTAACAGCTTCCCTTTTGCTGGTAATTTGTAACATTGAAAAGGTAATGTTATTTTATAGATTATTCTGTCCGGCTGGTTTTCATCTGAAAGTGACTCATTTATGTTTGTTGTGAAAATGGGTCCCTCAAAGATAAAACTTAATTAAATCTCAGGCTCAGATCATTGCAGACCTATCTGTATGTTAAAGTTCAGCATCAGAAGTTGATTTTTACCTTGCTTCAAGGTAAAGTGAGCTGGTTTCTCTCCCAGGTGTTTTGGCAGGAAAACCTGGGTGGAGTAAAGCACCAGCTGCAGAAGCTGTTTTGGGCTGAGCAGTGTCCTACCTCGCCCACTGGGTCAGACTCCCTGCACCAGAAGCGGCCATAGTGCAGCGCCCTTCTCGTGACAAGGAAGCTGGCTCAGTGCACCCTATGCCAAGAACTGCTGCATCACTGGAAACAGGAACATGAATTTCACTGTATCGACTGGTTATTGCATGCAGCTGCTCTTTAGATAACCAGTACGGGCCGGTGGTGGCATTTGTAAGTATCTTGTGGACAATCAACTGTTCTGCTCAGCTGAAGACATGCCACTCAGAGCTGTGTTGTTCAACACCAATTCCTCACCCCTTATTTAACAGGAAGTAGATATTTTCCAGTGGATGTCACAACTGGTCTGCTGACAACATTTGGGATGTTTAGTCGGGTTTAGGAGTTTAATGCTGCTGCTGGCATTGAGACTTTTGCTATCAAGTGGGTTTTTACAAAAGCTTTGAATACTCGTTTTTACTGTCCAACAAACATTCTGACTTAATTCTGAATGCTTTGTGTACGTTTCACTAGCATTTTCCAAGTGTTTGTACGGTTTTTACAGCTGAATATCCTGTACGGTCTGCTTTGTCATTTTATATTATGGTTTATACTGTACTGCAGGCAAGAACTGCATTAAAACCATTTTTGGCTAATTATACTTGTGAATGGTTATTTCCTATGAGTTAGCGTATGTTCAGACAAAACATTCTCTGGAAGCCTTACACAACGTCAGTTAATTGAAATGACTGCTGGGAGTGGGGAAGGGTCTTCATCTGGGTCAAAAAAGGAACTGCTAAACTGCCCCTTGCTGTAAGGGGGGTGGCGCAGGGCCTTTGCATTGTGCTGACCAGAGGTGTGAAGCACTCTGCTTGTGCCAGCCTTCTGTAATCCTACACTTTTTAGAATATGGATGTATTTAAAAAGCAATAATGGAGTATATTGTCTTTATATATAAATTTTCCTGAAGTTACAGTAAGGTAAGATCTAGCAAGTTTAAGTGTTGGTATTGTCTACTTGGTGCCAGGGGACTTAAAGCCAAAGAAAGTACTTGGCTGCAGATTTATGTTTAATCTGATCAAGAGAACTACTGCATTGAGTATTCTGAAAGGGCGCTAAGCCACGGGGACCATATTTGCCTTTTGACTTTAAGCCCTGTTGCTCTGCAAACAGAGCGAGAAATTAAGTCCAGCTTTTGGCCACAGCTTTCCTTTCTTTAGAAGGGCTGGCGATACCCAGTCAACCACAAACGTTTTAAGAGGCAAAACTGAAGTACTGTGTGTTTTTAGAATTTCTGCAGGCAGCACTGCTCCCACCCGCTTGGCCAGGGCATGTGCACTGCAGCAGGAAGCTGCTTTATGCAGCACCATTAGGCAAAACAACCATGGATGTTTTCCTATTTGAAAATAACCTATACAGAGCAAAATTCAGAATTGTATCTTTAGTTCTTGGCCACCATCCAAAGACTGAAATTTCTGCCAGAATTCAAGGTGACTGCTGAGAACTGGGTCGAGTTCTAAAGTGCACCTGTCATTTTGGAAGTGCTCAGAGTGGCTGTAGCAGCTGACCTGGAGTGATGTGCACATTACCATGAGAAATAAAGTGCAGATCTGTGTGATTTAGTTGTTTTATTTTGCTCTTGCAAGCAGCCACAAGACTGGCTATAGAAGAATAAATAAGTTAAAGCAGAGATTGTAGCAATTTATACAACTTTCAACACTGAGATGCTTGACTTTGTAATGAGAGAGGGCTTTGTTACTGCACCCGACTCAGAGTTCAGGCAGCAACTGACCAGAACTGATCTAAATCAAGTATTTCCCCCTTTGGCCAAAAAAAATTTTAAGCATGCCCTCAACCAACTCAACAATAATGAAACGTAGAAAAAAGCCTCTTGTAAAATCATACAGTCATATCCATTTGTTCTGAGTGTGTCAGTCTGTTCCAAAATACTTCTGTCCGAAGTGTGTTGGTGCAACAGGATGGACTTCTGTAGTTAAAATGGTGATTTCTGGGAATTCTTGGATGATAGATTTGGCACCTTTTGAAAGAGGACAAAGGCAATAATGACTACAACGCTGCAGCTGAATTTCAGCACCACGTGTTAAATCACAATTAGCAGAAATGTGCAGGCAAGTCAGTCTCTGTTCTACTATCTCCACTTCATGTTTATGCCTTAGCTGACTGTCTATGAGGAATTTAGTGGATGGCTTTTCTGGGTTTTCTTATGTGGATTTTTCTTTTCTTTACTGTACGTGATAGTCCCAATCTCATCATCAGAGTGATTACAGGCTGCCAGGGATAATGCTCTGCATTTCAGTTGACTATTTAGATAATGATTTCTGCCATAGCTAATTTTTAGAACAATGCAGAAAATCCATTTTTGTACTTTGCAGAAACTTTCTTTTTTGGATCCCCTTTTACAAGTTAAGATCTTTACCATGCAGACAGGAACGGATCTATAGCTTCATTTACCTCACGCTCCTTACAGAACTGGTGTTCTGTTGGTGGCAGAGCACCACAACACCATCCATGGGCTGCTACATCCCAGAGCAACAGCAGGATGGGCATTGCTTTGTGAGATACTGAAGCATCTTCTGTACCTGGCAGTGCTGCAAATTCCTTTTAGGAATACTTCACCAGTTGCAGTGTTGTCATGAGGTGTAACAGGCTCGTTCCTTTCTGCTAGCCCACTCCACTGCTCACACCAAACATTTCCAATTCAGCCAAAAAAACCAAAACCCAAACCCCCCTCTCTTCTGAGCACAGGATGCTGCTATCGTTATTTGCAAAGGAACAGCTCTTCACTGCTGCCCAAAGCACGTGACTAACGTAACTTCTCCATTAAGTGTGCTTGGGGCCACTCCTCTGTCCCCCTTGTGCCCCCCAACTTACCATGAGGTGTGGAGAATAGGCTTAGCAGGATAATGACACTGGGTTGGAC